TTTGGTGTTAATAACAATTTGTGTGAGTTAAATTTCAAAAATTGTAAAAAATGAGTTTTTTTATTCTCTATTTTTAATAGAACATTTAGAGAAAAGTAAATACAGCAATTAAATAAAACATTTCTTATAAAAAGCTTTTTTAAAAAAAAAACTTATTTCTTTCTTTAATATGAGATTTCTTGTACATCTTTAGCTACTACAACATTTATTAAAGAAAGCAAGTAACCTTTAGTTTGTTATTTTCAATCTCTTAAATGCTAGTTAATAAAAAAAACCTTTTTACTTTTGTATTTTCCTTATTTTGTTTAGTAATTCATTGTCTTCAATTGACTCAAAAATACGACCGACAAATATTTGCGTTAAAGTTTACAATCTTTCAAAGGCGGTTACCTACGCGTTCTAAGTCTAGGTTTGGGCCCAAAAGTCACTCAGCCGTAAAAAACCACTTCTCCATATAAGGCCAAATTAGGGAACAATAGCATTATTTGATATAGGTAGCTCCCTTTTTATTATTTTTTTTATTAAACTATTAATCAAACATTAGTGAATAATCTAATGTGTAATTAGAGTAAAATAATATATTTTTGCATTGCTATCGAAGACGTGTGTAATTGGAAAGTATTTGGAACGAACATGTTGAATTAAACGTTGACAAAATTGAGTTACACGCTTTTCAACAAACCCATAAAAATCAAACAAAACGACATTGTTATCTAAATAAAATCTTATCAAGAACGCGAATAAATAAATAAAAAAAAAGTATTTAAAACAAATATTATTTTCAGCGGTTTTCTATTTGACAGCTGTTGATAAATGTCTGTGACATTTTGTATGGTTTTAAAACTAAAAAAAACTGTGCTGTAAAAATATTAAAGTTATAAACCTCAACTGTTAGAAAAAAAATCCACAGCAACAACTGTTTTACCTATTTGAGTTAATCCGTTAAATTTACCTTTTGCATTGTTTCTTTTATACACATCTTGAGTCACGCTGTATTCACGTGATCGTAAGATATGTGACGTAAAAAACACATTTTTGTTTGGCACGATCTCAAAGTGACAGATAAATGGAACGTGTAGTTAGACAAATATGAAAAAACTAAAAGTGCAATCATCATCAGAAATGTATATATATATATATATATATATATATATATATATATATATATATATATATATATATATATATATATATATATATATATATATATATATATATATATATATATATATATATATATATATATATATATATATATATATATGAAGGTTTAATGATAGTGCGATTTGTCGGAAAAACTATTAAACTGCTTTTCTTTTAAATTAAAATATAACCTCGTAATCATAGATGAGGCATTCACATACATATTTATGCCATATTCAGAGATATTTGGAAACTAACAAAGGTAAGTAATTTTTCTATTGCGCTATTTTATTTTCTGTCCTTTATGAACACACAGACATACACAGCTCTTTCTCTTTTCACGCAGTGTATTAAAATTTTCAATATGGGAATAACTGACGGTGTGAACGTATTAAAGACCCCCTCATAACGAACCCTTTTGAAATGCTTGATAAAAGATACATTAGTTACGATGAAATCCCCGGCAGAATAACTAAAAATACAACCTGGCCAGTTCGCGAATTGGCCGGCCAATACACGAAATACTCTGTTAAACTCTTCAAATATCGACAAAGCGAAGGTCATATATGTAAGTATATTAAATCCATTTACCTTCATTATGTGCAACCCCCACCCTCTATCTGTGCTATTACTTCCCCCACCCCTTGTCAGCTACAATACCACGGCACGTGCATAGACTTCTGACCCGGTCATTAGACTGTCCAATGGGATTGCAGTTGCGATAGTGACCGTTATCTGAGTCTAAAAGGCTTATGACACAGGTCCCACTTGTCACGCTACTCCGCGTGTTCAACGGGAGACCATCGGTCTCCTTATTGACACGTACTTTGGTTCTGTATTATTTTATTTACTCTACCATTTTTTGTATTTCAAATGTGTTTCCAATGTTACCAAGTGTTCCTTAAGTTTAATACATGCACCTGTTTCTATCTGTACTTAATCATTCGACCCTCTATTTTCATTACCTGCTCTAACATACTGACACATCATCACAAAGTCAAGTAAAGTTTTTGTTTAGATAATCTAAACACGACGTTCGGAAAGATATTAGGTTCTGATTTTACACGACAGGAGAAACAACTAGTAACAGAAACAATTACTCTCACTTCACCATAGTTCAGTCATGTGTATTATTGTGTTTACTGCTATGATGAAAAAACAAAATTAAGACAGATAATTAATTAAAAACTGAAAAAAAATAAAGCAAAATAAATCATAAAAAAAAAAAAAAAAAAAAAGAAACAATTTAAAAAATTGAAAAATTTCGTTATCATTTCTTTTTGGAAACTACCAAGATCTAATGTTAACAATAAGTAGGTTATTAAAAAGAAAAAAAAATCATAAGATTGTTTTATTAACAAGCTTGTATGTGATAATGCACTAAAAATACAAAATAAATTAAACAATACTATTTAAATAACTATAAAGAAAAGCTTGGGTCACTTTAGTATCTATTGGATACCTTTACTAATATTTAGGAAGAGATCCACGCTTTTCTTTATAGTTATTTAAAAAGTAATGTATAATTTATTTTGTACTTTAAAGTGCATTATTACATAAAAACTTGTTATTAGAAGTTTTTTTATGAATTGTTTTCAGTACTTGAAAAGTTACATTTTTTTAATAGACTTGCATGGCTAGAAACAATTGCGCACCTAATGAACGTGATGACGCGTGTATAATAGTGTGGAATATTTGGATGAGACAGCCTACTAATTTGGACAAAATGCTAATAAATTTAAAAAAAATAATTAGGCAACCAATTAAGTCAAATTTAATGTGCCACGTGCCAACGTTGAAACAAATCTGTCAGTTAGAAGTGTCCGAAATTTCGCTCTGGCATTTCGATCTAGACAGACAGAGGAATGACAACTGACACCTGACGACTGAAGACAGAGGAAGTAAGTTAAATAAAAGCTTGTAAAAATAAATAGCTGTTTAGCAATGAATAAAAACTGTTGTAGTAATTTTAATTTTTTGCCAAAAATCAACAAATTATTTGTATTTTTAAAAATTAATGTTATTACATGTTAAAAATACCATTTATTTTTTTGAAATGTTGAACATGTGGCCATAATAGCAACATAAGAACTTCTTTGATTATGTAGTGAATTATGTTGTAACTACAGTAAGATTTAAAAAAAAAGTATAACTACTTCACAATGACAATCTATCTATTAAAACCACACTATCTACTAAACCACAAGCTTGTTTACAACTTTGTATTTATTTTGTTTGATTTTTGTTTTGTTTTTGTCTTTTTCGTGTGATCAGAGCATCTGCACTATGTTTACAGTTGTATAATAGGTAGAGAAAAATGTTCTTTTTCTCCGAAAATGTTACACACATATTTATTTAAATACGATAATTAATTTCTTTATATATTCATTCGTAAGTACACCACTTTAATTATACAAATTCAGAACAGACACTTTATTTTTACAAAAATTTAAAACTTTCAAAGGAACCTACTTTGAAGTCAATAGAAACGTGTAGGAATTTATTAAAATGAGTCAAAACTTTTAACGTTTTATTGCCGGGAAAGTATATTGACGTCATTGATTTTAGAGTAATCATAGAATTCATAATTTAATGGGAAAACAAAACACAATAATAATGACACTCACTGCCTAATTTATTTGTCTAATCTTAAAAGTTATCTGCATGCAGAGTTGCTTTCCAAATTCTTTATTTACTTATTTTCACATCAAACATTTTAGAGAAAAAGTAGGCGAAACCAAAATATATAAGTTAAAAACAAAACAATTATAAAAATACAAAAAAATAATTGCGTTTCTTTATTGAACTATTTTAGTCCTTAAATGTTTATATTTGTTTTTTAACACCACAGATCATCTTATCCGAGAATACAATTGATTTATCTATATCTAGACAAGCCATTTTTCATCGTTCCGTAAACATTTAGAGGATTTATCTAGATTCTACATCTAGATCCAGAACCTAGGCCACTAGTGTATTAGAAAACACGAAGGTGGTAAGGGTTAAAAAAATATAATTTCAGTGCTGAGTATTTACCCGCCCCCCCCCCCCACACACAAAATTCCCTTTTAGAAAATGCACAGTTGCAAATCGCAACACGCGTGATTTGTTTTAATTCAATATTAATAGTTGGACGTTAGCTTTAATAATTTATTCATGTAATATTCATACGAGATTCGAGTTCAGAAGATAGTATAGGAAGAAATCGATGGTTTAAAAGACAAAAACATCTAAACTGTATTGTGACTTCTTTTTAGATGTGAATGATAGTTGCCTTTTGGACTAGACTAGACTAGACTAGATATGGGGCATCTGTACTTAATAATAGCACAGTCCCGTCGATTCTACGAACTTCTGATTTCTATTAGCACAAGCAAGATTTCTAAACTCAAATTAGAAAAAAAAAAGTCTAATTTGGAATATTTAATTGTCTATGAACTGTTTAAGCTATTTAACATAAAAATCAAAACGACGATGCACATGATTAAGCGTGCAAGATTTGATCCATTTATCTTTTCATATTATCACAATAATACGAATCGTAGAACCCCCCCCCACACACAATTATGACCTTTTAACATAATATAAGTACTAGCACAAAGGTCTCGAGTTCGGATCACGGTCGAGATTTTTTATTCTAAGATGCCCCTCGAGTTTACCCAGCTCTGATGGGCACTTGACTCACGTTGATGAAAGTAAATGCGGTTGGGCTAAATGCTGACCATATCATTCTTCATATGCCGTTGTCAAGAAACATTCGAACTGTGTTGTATCTGACCCATGTATCTTAATCTCTGAAAGGTGAGCTTAACTTACTTTAACTAATAGAATAAAACAAGCACTATTGTTTATGAAGGTCGATAGTGTGTTTAATTAAAAAAATTACACCATTTTATATTACATAATATGTAAGAGATAAAGTGTAATATGCTACAAGGTGTTAACAATGACATCCAAGTCAGAAGTTAACTTGCTTTAACGTCCACCACCGTGAATGTGTTCAAGGTCAATGAACAGAATCTCCCAGTATCTGCGAAGATTGAATGAAAAAAAATGGAATTGGTAACTTAAACCACGATCAAGATTATATAAACAATGCCAACAAATATTAAAACTTTTGATTGGATGAAAACTCTAAAAAATTAAAATAAAGCTTTATCTGGATCTAATACACATTGTCAATAAATATTTAATCTTTATTGCATTAAAAACCCGAAATAATTATTTAATATTCAAAATTGGTTGGAAGTTGGATATGAAATGTAAACAGTTGTATACATGGTGATATTATTCTTTTGGTTAATTTTTTTAATGACTAAGAATGAAAAAATACAGATGTTTTATTTAAGTAGAAATTTCGATTAAAATTTATAAGACTTAAAAAAAATGTTTTTACAGCAAAGCGTTTTTTTTTAAATTTTTACCCTAAAGATAAAAATTCACCTGATAAATTCTTCAGCACTGACGATACCGTTGCCATCGCCGTCCATTAAACTAAAGAAGTTGTTGAAGTCGTGCTCATCCAGATGGTGGTCACCGTCCACGTCGTAGATGTCGTAGAGGGCGTGGGACAGGGGGTGGAGGGCTGGGCTGTGGGTGTCCACGTAGCTGGTGTACTCGTGTCTGGTGATTCTGCCGTCGCCGTCAGTGTCGTAGCTCTGGTAGGGAATAATTTAAACAAAAGGTGAAAACTATGAATTAATAATTTCACAATCGTATTAATGTATGTAGTACTCATTCATTTGCAGTGGTTTATATATATATATATATATATATATATATATATATATATATATATATATATATATATATATATATATATATATATATATATAAATATTTATTATAGATTTATATAAATAAAAAATAGATACATTTACATATAAACGTAAATATATATAATAGATTTATATAAATATAGGCAATATTATATAAATAAATAAATTTACATATAAACATATATATAAATATATATATATATATATATATATATATATATATATATATATATATATATATATATATATATCAGAATACATAGTTTTATTAATTTTTTCATATATAAGAATATCAAAGTTAAATAAACCAACATTAAGAAAACACCCCCTAGATATTGCCATGACAATCCCCTTCCCCAAGCGCTACTCACCAAGAAAGTGGCGTGGAGCTCAGCCTTATCCACGTTGTGGTCTTGGTTGGTGTCGACCTGAAGGAAGAGTGCGACGGCCGTGACGTTGTACGGCTTGAGGTCGACCGTCTGGGCCAAGGTCAAGGCCGGCAGGCAGATCAACATAAGATGCACAATCGACATTTTGGCTCTGGAACTATATTTTTTAGGTGTTTCGTCAATTTATGATTTTAGTTAAGAAATATTTTTATAGAAAATCAACTTTGTAAGTTTACTTTAGATCTGCATGTATTAAATATATTATTGTGCTTTGTCTATTTATAACTTTATCAGAAAAAGTTTCTACAGTTAACGATTGAGAAAAGAAGTAAGAGTTTGATGATAAGGAAATATTTAACACAAATAATATTTATTTTCAACGTTTTTCTACATAGAAGATGTTAGTCAAATTGTATTACGCATAGTTTAGCTTAAATCTTTAAAAACAAAGTTTTCAAAATTATTTCGTTATAAAATTTCTCTAACAAACGATTAACGTTTTTACCTGTTTGAGTTATTCCGTTTAATTTAACAATTTGTTCCGTTTCTTTTATATAAATCTTTTGTCACGCTGTTTTCACGTGACCGTACGATAGGTGACGTAAAAAAACATTTTTTTTGGCACGATCTTCGAGTGATAGAAAAACGGAACGTGTAGTTCTGACAAATGTGGCACGCTTTTAACTAGGTCACATCTGCTTGGGCGGTGATAAAAGTCTAAACGAGGCAAACGTGTCTAATAAATACTTAACATAATTTTTTTATTAACGAAAATAGTTCATTAAATAATCTTTAAAAATTAAGTAAAAGTTTTAATCAATGAAGCAATTGAAAAAAAAAAACAATTATTTAACACATAGGCCTACATGCATAGCCTTACAACAGTGGAGAGGGGTGGGGTGGGTGTAGACTTCTTGTTAGCAACTGACGATACTATTAAAGTATTGAGATGACCCGGAAAACGACATTAAACAGAAATTAGTTATATTTAATTGGACGTTTTTTTTCATAAACTACAGGGTAGTATCACAGTGAAAACGATGGACAGTGTTCAACAAATTCACATTAAAAATTTGTCAACATTTTATAATGTTCATTTTAAGCAAACAACCATAAAAAAATTCATAAAAATCGTTTTAATAACAAACTTTTTTTTTCTATTGGATACCTTTATTAATATTTAGGAAGCGACCCACGCTTTTCTTTATAGTTATTTAAATAGTAGTGTTTAATTTATTTTCTACTTTTTAGTGCATTATTACATAAAGCTTGTTATTAAAACGTTTTTACTTTCTCGTATAAACGTAGTATAGAGAAAGTATTGTAATCGTGCAAAAAAAAATCGAGATTTTTACAAATCTCGACGTTTTACACCTCACTGATTCGGAAAAACATAATTTTGCAATCTTGTCCGTATGTCTGTGTGTGTGTGTGTGTGTCTGTGTGTCTGTGTGTCTGTCTGTGTGTAAACACGATTACTTGAGTACCGTTACAGCTAGGTTGATGAAATTTCATATATAAGTATTATATCAAAATCGTAGATCCGTATCAACTTTTGAGCGATTTCCGATAACCGGAAGTGGTACTTTTTCTACTTTGAATTTTTCAAAAGCCTGTAACTTGAGTACTAATTCAGATAGATAAATGAAATTTCACATGTAAGTAAAAGATCTAATTCTCTACCTTCTATCAAATTTTGAGTAATTTCCGTTGACCGGAAGTACTAATTTACGCTATTTCCGATTTCTCAAAAAACGCATGTAAATTTATAAAGTACTAATAATATTGCGCACTATTACGCACATTTGGTTTTGGTGCTCGCTTGGTGCGGAATTTTTTTTCTACTAGATTTTATTCTATTTTTAAAAGTTTAAGTAAACAAAAATCATGTCTATATTCCGAGTTGACATCCCACGTAGTGTTATATTAAAAATATTCGAGAAAGTTTAGGGGAGATCACTCCCGGTTTATTTATGTTTTTTACAAGCTTTTATTTAACTCACTTCCTCTGTCGACAGTCTAGATGGAAACGCAGGAGTGAAAATTCGGACAGTTCTACTTGACCTATACGATTCACAGTTGGCACGTGGGTCAAGACATGAAGACAATGCAATCTGAATCTAAATTTGACTTAATTGGATGCCTAATTAATTTTTTATTAATTAATTAAAAATTGGACCGAATTAGTAGGCATGTCTATCCAACCACACCACATACGTCATCACGTTCAAACAGGTTTAATAGCTGCGCTATCACGTTCAATAGACGCGCAATGGTTTTTAGTCTTGTAACACTATTGCAAATAAAACATGTAAAGTACTGAAAAAAAAATTCATAAAAAACGTTTTAATAACAAGCTTTTATGTAATGATGCACTAAAAAGTAGAAAATAAATTATACACTACTATTTAAATTACTATAAAGAAAAGCGTGGGTCTCTTCTCAAATATTAGTAAAGGTATCCAATAGGTACTAAAGTACTAAAGTGACCCACGATTTTCTTTATAGTAATTTAAATAGTAGTGTATAATTTATTTCTACTTTTTAGTGCATCATTACATAAAAGCTTGTTATTAAAACGTTTTTTATGAATTTTTTTTTTCAGTACTTTAAATTTTGTATATTTACAATAGAGTTGCATGACTTAAAACCATTGCGCACCTAATGCACATGATGACGCGTGTATAATAGTGCAGAGTAGTTGGGTAAGACTGCTTCTAGTTTGGTTAAAATTTATTTTAATTAATTCATACAATATTAATTAGACATCCATTTAAGTTAACTTTAATTTTAGATTGCATTTTCTTCATGTTTTGACCCACGTGCCAACTTTGAACCGAATCTATTGTTAGAATTTCGCTCGGGCGTTTCGATCTAGACAGACAGACAGACAGACAGACAGACAGACAGACAGAGACAGTGAATTAAATAAAAGCTTGTAAAAACATACAAATTAAAGCGTATAAATTAAGCAAAATAGTTTAAAGAATAATTTATATACATAGACTTACAAAATTTATACTCTTTCATGAACTAATTTTAAAAATATTTATAAATATACTTTGAATTTACAAAGAGCCTTCTAATATATATATATATATATATATATATATATATATATATATATATATATATATATATATATATATATATATATATATATATATATATATTCATCTGAAGCGAAACTTAAATCGTAGAAATCCGTTCAACTTTTAACTAAACAGAAATCTTTAAAAAATAAAGTGAGGACTCCATAAGTCAGATTAAAAAAAAATGTCGGTAAAGTTTCTGATAAAGTTAAGAATGTTAGCTCATTTTTTATCTATTTTCGGAAAAGTCATGAGTTTTAGAAATCGTCCATCTAAGACATATATTATTTTAAAATATTTTAAATAACTTTTTAATCACACATAGACTTAATATATTTACCTGCTGTTTATAGCAGTGAAATTTTAAACTCTATATTAAACAAGACTTTCTCTATACTTTGTATTTACGAGAAAGTAAAATGTATATGTGGTCGAGTCGGCAAAAAGCTCATGGTTGATAAATTCGAAAAAAATTCTCGAGTTCAAACCCACTGGCAGATAAATCTCGATTCTATTCAACACTAAAAATTAAGAACGAAGAAGAAGAAGAAGAAATGTATGTGTGGATTTATAAAAATAATCTTGTACATTTTTTAATCAATTTTCCGTTGTCATTGTGATATTACTCCCAAAAAACAAAGACTAAGAAACGCAAAGAAATCAATAGAAAATATATTCTGATCGTTATAACTAATTGTTGCTAAAGCTGACACTCCCAAGATTAAGTCCCCGGGTAGATGAGACCCAATAGCCTGGGACAACAACCCATCTAAGAGAGAAAAATCCAAAACAAACATCTGCTGCCTTGTGATTTGTTCTCGTGTGGAAAAAGGCTATGAAAGCATATCCAAGAAAGTAATGTAGGCTGAAAACGGAGTCAATCGCCTATAATGAACATAACAAGCTGATACGTAATAATTAAAAGTGTTAGACAAAACACGTACAACAATAGAATTCAGAACGAAGAAGGAGAAGAATAGAAAATAGAAAATAGTTAACAGAAAGTATTAGTATTTTGGTGTCCAAAATACGATAAATTGTGCATTGATTAAGATTGTCGTCAAATATTCCAACCTTTATTTATTGTTGTTGATTACACACGGCGTAGTATAAAAAAAAGCTTCTGATCTAATTAAAATTGAAAATATTATATAAGTATCTTAAAAATATAAGTTGAATGTAGGCTACTAGGCTAAGATAAAAAACAATTTAAAAATACGTTTATTAATAGCGAATGTGGCGGCACTTTTTTAGTCTAAGAGAACGTAAGTCACCTCCTGTTCACCGTGACCTAGTTTACATCCCTGGTGTGTGTGTGTGTGTGTGTGTGTGTGTGTGTGTGTGTTTACACGTCAATCAAACGTGTGCACGTGAAAGTCAAGGATGAGATAACCTCTTAGGTAGAGATTGGCTTTTCTGCCTAGAACTCGTTTGTAATTATTGTGTGTAAATGTTGTAGTAAAATATTAATGGGTGTCAGGATATATCTTATTCAAAGTCATTAATCAATCAATCCAGATATTAATAGTTATTAATTAATTCATCCGGACATTAGCAGTCATTAATCTAACTTTTGGTACATTAATATTCTTTAAGCAAGCTATTCCGACATTGATACTCAAAAGCTCCGGATATTTGGAGTCATTGATCAAGACATACACCTGTCACCAATATGTGGTCTACCATAGAAGATCTCTTATGTAATAGATGGTATATTATTCCTAGTGTCTACACCAACAGGACCAGGACACGTTTGGTCTGACCCCTACCCACAGGACCAGGACACAAATCTGACCCCCTACCAACAGGACCAGGACACGTTTGGTATGACCCCTACCCACAGGACCAGGACACAAGTCTGGCCCTACCCACAGGACACGTCTGGCCCCTACCCACAGGACACAAGTCTGGCCCCTACCCACAGGACCAGGACACAAGTTCGGCCTCTACCCACAGGACCAGGACACAAGTCTGACCCCCTACCCACAGGACCAGGACAAAAGTCTGGCCCCTACCCACAGGACCAGGACACAAGTCTGGCCCCTACCCACAGGACACAAGTCTGACCCCCTACCCACAGGACCAGGACAAAAGTCTGGCCCCTACCCAGAGGACCAGGACACAAGTCTGGCCCCTACCCAGAGGACCAGGACACAAGTCTGGCCCCTACCCACAGGACCAGGACACAAGTCTGGCCCCTACCCACAGGACCAGGACACAAGTCTGGCCCCTACCCAGAGGACCAGGACACAAGTCTGGCCCCTACCCACAGGACCAGGACACAAGTCTGGCCCCTACCCACAGGACCAGGACACAAGTCTGGCCCCTACCCACAGGACCAGGACACAAGTCTGGCCCCTACCCATAGGACCAGGACACAAGTCTGGCCCCTACCCACAGGACCAGGACACAAGTCTGGCCCCTACCCACAGGACCAGGACACAAGTCTGGCCCCTACCCACAGGACCAGGACACAAGTCTGACCCCCTAACCACTGGA